ACTTGTGCCGGTGTGGGAGCTGGCACTTGTGCCGGTGTGGGAGCTGGCACTTGTGCCGGTGTGGGAGCTGGCACTTGTGACGGTGTGGGAGCTGACACTTGTGCCGGTGTGGGAGCTGGCACTTGTGACGGTGTGGGAGCTGGCACTTGTGACGGTGTGGGAGCTGGCACTTGTGACGGTGTGGGAGCTGACACTTGAGTCAGTGTGGGAGCTGGCACTTGTGACGGTGTGGGAGCTGGCACTTGTGACGGTGTGGGAGCTGACACTTGTGACGGTGTGGGAGCTGACACTTGTGCCGGTGTGGGAGCTGACACTTGTGACGGTGTGGGAGCTGACACTTGTGACGGTGTGGGAGCTGGCACTAGAGACGGTGTGGGAGCTGGCACTTGTGCCGGTGTGGGAGCTGACACTTGTGACGGTGTGGGAGCTGACACTTGTGACGGTGTGGGAGCTGACACTTGTGCCGGTGTGGGAGCTGACACTTGTGACGGTGTGGGAGCTGACACTTGTGCCGGTGTGGGAGCTGGCACTTGTGCCGGTGTGGGAGCTGGCACTTGAGCCGGTGTGGGAGCTGGCACTTGTGCCGGTGTGGGAGCTGGCACTTGTGCCGGTGTGGGAGCTGGCACTTGTGCCGGTGTGGGAGCTGGCACTTGTGCCGGTGTGGGAGCTGGCACTTGTGCCGGTGTGGGAGCTGGCACTTGTGACGGTGTGGGAGCTGGCACTTGTGACGGTGTGGGAGCTGGCACTTGTGACGGTGTGGGAGCTGACACTTGTGACGGTGTGGGAGCTGACACTTGTGACAGTGTGGGAGCTGGCACTTGTGACGGTGTGGGAGCTGACACTTGTGACGGTGTGGGAGCTGACACTTGTGACGGTGTGGGAGCTGACACTTGTGACGGTGTGGGAGCTGGCACTTGTGACGGTGTGGGAGCTGGCACTTGAGTCAGTGTGGGAGCTGGCACTTGTGCCGGTGTGGGAGCTGGCACTTGAGTCAGTGTGGTAGCTGACACTTGAGTCAGTGTGGGAGCTGGCACTTGAGTCAGTGTGGGAGCTGGCACTTGTGCCGGTGTGGGAGCTGGCACTTGAGTCAGTGTGGTAGCTGACACTTGTGCCAGTGTGGGAGCTGGCACTTGAGTCAGTGTGAGAGCTGACACTTGAGTCAGTGTGGTAGCTGACACTTGAGTCAGTGTGGGAGCTGACACTTGAGTCAGTGTGAGAGCTGACACTTGAGTCAGTGTGGAAGCTGACACTTGAGTCAGTGTGAGAGCTGACACTTGAGTCAGTGTGAGAGCTGACACTTGAGTCAGTGTGGAAGCTGACACTTGAGTCAGTGTGGTAGCTGACACTTGAGTCAGTGTGGAAGCTGACACTTGAGTCAGTGTGGGAGCTGACACTTGAGTCAGTGTGGAAGCTGACACTTGAGTCAGTGTGGTAGCTGACACTTGAGTCAGTGTGGGAGCTGACACTTGAGTCAGTGTGAGAGCTGACACTTGAGTCAGTGTGGAAGCTGACACTTGAGTCAGTGTGAGAGCTGACACTTGAGTCAGTGTGAGAGCTGACACTTGAGTCAGTGTGGAAGCTGACACTTGAGTCAGTGTGGAAGCTGACACTTGAGTCAGTGTGAGAGCTGACACTTGAGTCAGTGTGGAAGCTGACACTTGAGTCAGTGTGGGAGCTGACACTTGAGTCAGTGTGGAAGCTGACACTTGAGTCAGTGTGGTAGCTGACACTTGAGTCAGTGTGGGAGCTGACACTTGAGTCAGTGTGAGAGCTGACACTTGAGTCAGTGTGGAAGCTGACACTTGAGTCAGTGTGAGAGCTGACACTTGAGTCAGTGTGAGAGCTGACACTTGAGTCAGTGTGGAAGCTGACACTTGAGTCAGTGTGGGAGCTGACACTATCATCTACAGAAAACTTAATTGTGGTGAAAATATTTTTTTCTATGCAATTGATAATGACTATCAGGTTTTATATATTTTTTGTCTAATGGTTAATAGGTGTTATGCTGTGATATTGACCACCAACAGGTTGTTTACACTGTTATTGACCACCAACAGGTTGTTTACACTGTTATTGACCACCAACAGGTTGTTTACACTGTTATTGACCACCAACAGGTTGTTTACACTGTTATTGACCACCAACAGGTTGTTTACACTGTTATTGACCACCAACAGGTTGTTTACACTGTTATTGACCACCAACAGGTTGTTTACACTGTTATTGACCACCAACAGGTTGTTTACACTGTTATTGACCTCCAACAGGTTGTTTACACTGTTATTGACCACCAACAGGTTGTTTACACTGTTATTGACCACCAACAGGTTGTTTACACTGTTATTGACCACCAACAGGTTGTTTATAGTGTTATTGACCACCAACAGGTTGTTTACACTGTTATTGACCACCAACAGGTTGTTTATACTGTTATTGACCACCAACAGGTTGTTTATACTGTTATTGACCACCAACAGGTTGTTTATACTGTTATTGACCACCAACAGGTTGTTTACACTGTTATTGACCACCAACAGGTTGTTTATAGTGTTATTGACCACCAACAGGTTGTTTACACTGTTATTGACCACCAACAGGTTGTTTATACTGTTATTGACCACCAACAGGTTGTTTATACTGTTATTGACCACCAACAGGTTGTTTGTACACTTTTTGACCACCAACAGGTTGTTTACACTGTTATTGACCACCAACAGGATGTATATTCTGTTATTGACCATCAACAGGTTGTTTTATACTGTTATTGACCACCAACAGTTTGTATATACTGTTACTAACCATCAACAGGTTGAGTATACTGTTACTGAAGACAAACAGGCTTCATTAACTGACACCAAAGAGCAGCAGATGTTTTCAAATCAATAACACCAAAGGCATTATTCACAGATTGTGATACATTTATAATTCTGAAACTTGAAATATAAATTACAGTTCATTAATTAACGACAGTCACAATAACAGCTTAGGGCGTAGATATTATCACAATCAGAAACTTTATTCGAAAAAACTTATGAAAATCATTACAATTCTGGCTGCACTAAATAAGCTAACAGCGATATAAGTCAAATTTACATTTTTACCATAAAGTGAGGAACATTCATTTTACAATTTGAAAGGCGAAAAAATACAGGAAAATTAAATTAAATTTACCATCAGGGCGGTGAGACAGATAATGGCAATATCTACATCTAAAATTAGTATGACGTGAAGAGTATTAGAAGTAGAACTAGTAAATAATCCGGCAGTAAAATTACAGGAACATTGCATCCTATAAGGCTCAACAGATTCTTGGGCATCCCAGGATCGAACTCATCTCCAAACACACAGTTCATCTAACAGGGATGACTTCAACAGGACTCAAAATGACTGAAAGGTCGTGTCTTGGTGACTGTAAGGTTATGTCTTGGTGACTGTAACGTCGTGTCTTGGTGACTGTAAGGTCGTGTCTTGGTGACTGTATGGTCGTGTCTTGGTGACTGAGGTCGTATCTTGGTGACTGTAAGGTCGTGTCTTGGTGACTGTAAGGTCGTGTCTTGGTGACTGTAAGGTCGTGTCTTGGTGACTGTAAGGTCGTGTATAATACCCCCATGGTCGCTCTAGTGACCATGGGGGTATTATACACTGCTACTAGTGACCATGGGGGGTATTATATACTGCTACTAGTGACCATGGGGGTATTATACACTGCTACCAGTGACCATGGGGTATTATACACTGCTACTAGTGACCATGGAGTGTTATACACCTATACTAGTGACCATGGGGGGTATTAAACACTGCTACTAGTGACCATGGGGGGTATTATACACTGCTACTAGTGACCATAGGGGGTATTATACACTGCTACTAGTGACCATGGGGGGTATTATACACTGCTACTAGTGACCATGGGGGGTATTATACACTGCTACTAGTGACCATGGGGGTATTATATACTGCTTCTAGTGACCATGGGGGGTATTATACACTGCTACTATTGACCATGGGGTATAATACACTGCTACTAGTGACCATGAGGGGTAATATACACTGCTACTAGTGACCATGGGAGGTATTATACACTGCTACTAGTGACCATGGGGGGGGTATTATATACTGCTACTAGTGACCATGGGGGGTATTATACACTGCTACTAGTGACCATGGGGGGTATTATATACTGCTACTAGTGACCATGGGGGGTATTATATACTGCTACTAGTGACCATGGGTGTATTATACACTGCTACTAGTGACCATGGGTGTATTATACACTGCTACTAGTGACCATGGGGGTATTATACACTGCTAATAGTGACCATGGGGGGTATTATATACTGCTACTAGTGACCATGGGTGTATTATACACTGCTACTAGTGACCATGGGGGTATTATACACTGCTACTAGTGACCATGGGGGGTATTATATACTGCTACTAGTGACCATGAGTGTATTATACACTGCTACTAGTGACCATGGGTGTATTATACACTGCTTTTAGTGACCATGGGGCTATTATACACTGCTTCTAGTGACCATGGGGGGTATTATACACTGCTACTAGTGACCATGGGGGGTATTATACACTGCTTTTAGTGACCATGGGGGGTATTATACACTGCTACTAGTGACCATAGGGGGTATTATACTCTGCTACTAGTGACCATGGGGGGTATTATATACTGCTACTAGTGACCATGGGTGTATTATACACTGCTACTAGTGACCATGGGGGTATTATACACTGCTACTAGTGACCATGGGGGGTATTATATACTGCTACTAGTGACCATGGGTGTATTATACACTGCTACTAGTGACCATGGGGGTATTATACACTGCTTTTAGTGACCATGGGGCTATTATACACTGCTACTAGTGACCATGGGGGGTATTATACACTGCTACTAGTGACCATGGGGGGTATTATACACTGCTACTAGTGACCATGTGGGTATTATACTCTGCTACTAGTGACCATGGGGGTATTATACACTGCTACTAGTGACCATGGGGTATTATACACTGCTACTAGTGACCATGGGGGGTATTATACACTGTTACTAGTGACCATGGGGGGTATTATACACTGCTTTTAGTGACCATGGGGGGTATTATACACTGCTACTAGTGACCATGGGGGGGTAGTACACACTGCTACTAGTGACCATGGGGGTATTATACACTGCTACTAGTGACCATGGGGGGTATTATACACTGCTTTTAGTGACCATGGGGGGTATTATACACTGCTACTAGTGACCATAGGGGCATTATATATTGCTACTAGTAACCATGGGGGGTATTATACACTGCTACTAGTGACCATGGGGGGTATTATACACTGCTACTAGTGACCATGGGGGTATTATACACTGCTACTAGTGACCATGGGGGCATTATATACTGCTACTAGTAACCATGGGGGGTATTATACACTGCTACTAGTGACCATGGGGGTATTATATACTGCTACTAGTGACCATGGGGAGTATTATATACTGCTACTAGTGACCATGGGGGTATTATACACTGCTACTAGTGACCATGGGGGTATTATATACTTCTACTAGTGACAATGGGGGTATTATAAACTGCTACAAGTGACCATGGGGGAATTATATACTGCTACTAGTGACCATGGGGGGTATTATATACTGCTACTAGTGACCATGGGGGTTATTATATACTGCTACTAGTTACCATGGGGGTATTATATACTGCTACTAGTGACAATGGGGTATTATATACTGCTACTAGTGACCATGGGGGGTATTATACACTGCTTTTAGTGACCATGGGGGGTATTATACACTGCTACTAGTGACCATGGGGGCATTATATACTACTACTAGTAACCATGGGGGGTATTATACACTGCTACTAGTGACCATAGGGGGGTATTATACAATGCTACTAGTGACCATGGGGGGTATTATACACTGCTACTCGTGACCATGGAGGCATTATATACTGCTACTAGTAACCATGGGGGGTATTA